AGATGTATGTCACAGTAAGGTTACCTAGCACATGTCCTAAGTTTCTTGTGAATACAAATAATTACAAAACAGTCTTTCAAAGCATAATCATGCAGGAAACTAAATTGTAAATATTTTCTAACAAAAATACTCACTGTATCTCTCATGATTGATGTGAATGTTCTAAGGAAGAGGATACGGAATTGTGTGAAACTGCTGGTGGCGAACGTCAGGATTTCCTTGCCATCTCCGTCCTACAACACACAGGTGTATATATAGCTAAAATATAATCCTCATACTGGGATATCTTTATATGCTTAGACAGGTCATCTTATCACAGGTAAACTGTTTTCAATTCAACCTATATAATCTAGTTGCTGTACTACACGCAGGAGCCATAGGCAAAAATGCAACATGTCAGAAAAACAGCAAATAAGTATAACAGCTGTGAACTTTACGAAATTCACACACTTGCTCAATGGATATTTTGAGCCACCATACAAATTTTGAGGCAATTATAGTTTGAAATCATGCTGACAACAAAATCTTCTGAAGATAAACATCATGTTTTGATTATCATATTTTACTGGTGATAAACCTGTGCCTGATAATAAGCCCTGGCACTCCTTGCTTTTCCTTATTTTCTGTGCAAAGGTTGGGTGCTCTGTATCAACCCCCCTTCCCACTTTACCACTGCAAATTTGGTAAGCTGTGATGGTGGGGACCACACTGTCATGTCTGGGTTTACAGGCAGTAGACCATGATGGTGGGGACCACACTGTCCAGTCTGGGTTTAATTTACAGTCAGTAGACCATGATGGCGGGGACCACACTATCCAGTCTGGGTTTACAGTCAGTAGATCATGATAGTGGGGACCACACTGTCCAGAGAAGGTATACAAACTATAGAGAGAATTGGTGGGGGTTTACAGTCAGTAGACCATGATGGTGGATCCCACACTGGCCAGTCTGGGTTTACAGTCAGTAGACCATGATGGTGGATACCACACTGGCCAGTCTGGGTTTACAGTCGGTAGACCATGATGGTGTGGACCACACTGTCGAGTCTGGGTTTACAGTCAGTAGACCATCATGGTGGGGACCACACTGTCCAGTCTGGGTTTACAGTCAGTAGAC